CTCGATATTAAATAGTATAACACAAGTGTTTAATGGTAATTTCACTTAAAAAAGTTTGAGTCGAGCTCGAGCATTTGACTTCGAGTCGAGCTCGAGCTATTGTATTTTCTTATCGAGTCGAGCTCGAGCCTCATAAATCGAGCTCGAGCTCTAGCAGTTAAAAAAAAAATCAATCCTGCTCGATAAGGCCAATGCTCGACTCAATTCGGCTCGTTTGCAGCCCTAGTGCAACATCACAATCTTGAAATAAGGTGAAAAAGACAACAAAAATATGAGTACTAATCCTTCTTCGACAAAGGTACGATGATTTCTTCAGACACATACTAATTCAACAAGATAACCGAACTACCGAAGTCCAACAATGTCTACAATTAGAAAACAAAATTATGAGAATGCTCAAAACTCAAAGTAAGTCCTCAACCCATACTTTGTGCGGAACTCCTCATCATCCCGACATCTTACGAATATTCCCTTCAGCTCCGTTTCAGTTACACAGCATGCGATTATTATGCTCAGCCCCCCCCTGCAAAATGAGAAGGAAAAAAAAAAATTAAAAAAATAAAAAAAAATAAAATAAAAAAAAAATCTCTCAATTTGAATGACAATGCTTGTGAAACTATTCTAACAGCCATTACATTTAAAAGAAAACCTCCGAATTGCTTGAGTAATGTAAAAGACAACCTTACAACCAGCTCACGATTTTCTCCTGCAGATGCAGGAACAAAGTGGGTATCACTTCTGATACGAGCCACTCGCTCTTCATTAGTCTCTTTATCCACCCGATCTTGATTTCTTTTTGCACGACACCCAATCATGCTGTGGCACCACAGGTCCTGTAAAAATAAGAAATGGTTTTGTTTTTAATGAGATTTGTTATCATCTACGTTATTTTTCTAGTGTTGGTGAACCAAAAGTAACACATACCTCTATTTCCTTATACAGCTCAGCAACAAAAGCATCATTCATAAAAACTTGCTTCACCACATTGGTAAATTCATCAGCATCACCACTGCTAATATTTTCTCTTTTAAGAATCTCTAGAATGTTTTCAAAAAGTTTTACAACTGGATCTTCTCCTTCTAGTCTCGAAGCAACGCTCATGAAATTTGGATGCTAGTACAATCTGTAAGTTGAAAAATTTAAATCGTTTTAATGTCCACTAAATAGTAATTAGATCAAAGATCACCTGTGGTGCACGGAAGTGAACTCATTAGAGAACAGTGAGTGAGTAAGTAGGAAAAATTATAAGAATTAAGTACACGAAATCCAAAAGTTACGGCAAGAGTTCAAGCAGCATGTATTTGTAATATCAATTGATAAACAGATGAACATCACTTTCTAACTGACATACTAGCCCACAGCTTATGCTAATCAACGACTGGATACACACACATACTACCATACGTATATTGCCGACAAAGATTAAACAATGGAAAAACCAAGAAATAGGTTGTTCATTCTAAAGCAACAATCCAATTGCAAAGTGAACTACCAATCAACAGAAATCCTTTTATTGACATTCCAGTAGGTTTCAATGCACAATCATTTAGTTAATTAGCGATGATGCCTTCGCTAACAGAGGAAAGCAAAAGGAGTTGATGCCCATACCTCAAAAATCTCCTGAATGTGAGACCGACACTGCAAAAAGAACAACTAAAATAAGTAAAGAACCACCAGACGGACAATAGATTGACCAAATTGGAATCATCCTTACGATTAGATCCTCATCCGGAATAACGTCACTATCCTCATCATCATCATCATCAATGGCATCAATAGCTCTTTTCAACGACTTTTTATCCTCAAAATTCTTTTCCTCCTCCTTGAACCCTCTACCCTCCGATCGATTGCCTTTCCCAAATTCTTGCATTCTTCGTTGAATTCTTCAACCTGTGCATCCATTAGAAAATAGGTAAACTGGAGGCTATTTATCGTAAAATGGAGTTTGGGGAATTTTTTACATTAATTTTTTTCTTTTTTTTTCTTTTTTTTTTTTTTATAAATATTCAATCACATACCNTTTTTTTTTTTTCAAACGACAATTATATTATATATACTAGAAAACTCAAGAGAGTACAAAGGGAGTGCCAACTGACACTAAGAAACCAGAAAACCTGGACCTACCCCTTGGAACAACACAAGTGTCCAAGGGTAAAACCTCCAACAAGGAGACGAAAAACAACACCACGCCACAACACAACTCCAAGAAGGAGATAAAATTCCACAAGGGAAACTAAATACCAGACACAGCTGGACTGAACGAAACAAAACAAAAAAATTAACACAAAAATAAAAAATTAATACGTTTTTTTACATTAATAAAAATTAATTGGACAAAAACAAAAACGAAAAAAAATGTGGACAAAAATGAAAAGGGCGTAAAACATATTATCAGAATACGTTTTATTCATATTACAATATAAAACGTATTATATAATATATTTTCAGAAAAAATAATAAATAAAACGTATTTTGATTATACGTTTTACAAATAATTCAATATAAAATGTATTCACATAATATATTTTTAAAAAATTAATAATACGTTTTATAAATAATTAAGAACTAAAACCTATTTTGATAATACATTTTATATTTCAAAATTAATGAATAAAAAAACTTAATATGTATTATGTATTTTGTGTTTCGGACTTGTTTGGGCTCGTTTGAACTCGGAATTAAGATCTGTTTTTTCCTATACGTAGCTAACGAACCCCCCTATCCAATGATGCTTGCATGGCCGAATTATTCTCGAAATTATATTCTCCCAAAGCTCTTGACCGATACATTAAACGTGTTTCGCGCGACTTTGCTTTTTGGGCTCGTGCGGACTCGTCCAAGCTCGAAATTGATTTCCGCTTCTTCCTATATGTCGCCAATGAACCATTCTACACAACCATGATTGTCCGGTCAATTTTTGGGCTACTTCTATTCCTCACGGACTAAATAGTTAATGGTGTAGGTAGAAGACGTTGTGACCGCGAACGACAACAACGCCCGTTCAGACTCGTCTAAGCTCGATATTGAGTTTCGTTTCTTCCTATATGTCGTCAACGAACCCGTCTACACAACAATAATTTTCCCATCAATTTTCGGGCTACTTCTATTCCTCACGGGCTAAATAGTTAACAAATCACCCATTATATAAATAGATGGTCCATGGAGGATTTGTTAATGGGTAATTTGTTAATTATTTAGTCCGGTGAGGAATAGATTTAACCCAAAAATTGATCGAGCAATCATGGTTGTGTAGATGGGTTCGTTGGCATCATATAGGAAGAAACGAAACTCAATTTCGAGCTTAGACGAGTTCGAACAGGCGTTGTTGTCGTTTGCGATCACGACGTCTTCTACCTACACCAATGTTGGCAGCGGGTTGATGCCTCGCCCTGTGTGACTATGTCCTCTGTGATGGGACGTAGTCCTCCTCGGATAAAGTTAAAGGTTATTTTGACAATTTTGGTTACAAAAAGGTTATATGCCAAGCTTTCTTACCCGGATCGGCCCGGCGGGTTGACTCGGGACCTGGTCGACTTGGAGTCGGCCGGGTGAGCTATTTGGATCGGGCGATAAAGGACCCGGTCAAAACCCGATCAACCCGGCTGACCCGAGGCATTGACCCAGTCCATATATATATATATATATATATATTATTTTTTAAAAATAAAACTATGTATATATGTTTATATGGTAAATATTTATCATGAGATACATATTATTAATACTTTAATGTACAAATTTTTACACAAAACATTTAATTTTGTTACTTTTTATTAGGGATGTTCACGGTCCGGTTTTAACAAAAAAAACCGTCAATCCGGACCGCGGATCGGTTAAATGGTCAGTTAAAAAAACCTTGAAAAATCCGGTGGTTAATTTTTTTAAAAATCCAGAATAACCGGTCCGGTTAGCGGATTATCTGCGGCAAACCGCCGGTTTAACCGGACCGGACCGGTAAATATTAAAAAACTATAACAAATATATATGCATTCACTCATTCACTATGGCTACAAATACAATACATTCCCTATGAATGTTTTACTCTTATTATTTCAGGTGTATAAACTGACTGAAAAATGAATGTTTGCTTGGGTTCAGGTTGCATAATTTAATCTTCATCATTTTTGTATTTTTATTTTTATGGGACGAAATGTGTATTTTTATGCTTATGAGATGAATTGTGTATTTTTTATTTCATTATTATTGTTTTGCTTAATTCTTAGGCTCAAATAATCTCTTTTGGAGCCAAAATTGAAAAATATAAATTAAGCCCAAAATGAAAAAAATAAAAATGAAGGCCCAAAACAAAGATTTTGGATTTAACCGGTTAACAGCCGAACCGGACCGTCCAATGCGGTCCGGATTGTGGTCGGTGAGAAAATAAAACCGATCCGTTTATGGACAAGAAAAAAAATTAACCGTTAAGTTCGGTTTGGTCATGGTTTGAGCTAAAATCAGACCAATCCGAACCGTGAACATCCCTACTTTTTATGTATATTTATATGATAAAAATACTCTATATATAATTTAAAAAATTTTAAAATTAATTATTCGGTTCAACAATTTACTCGATGACCCGACAGTTGAAACGGTGACCCAATGACCCGAGGACCTGCTTGGATCGATTATCGGGCCGAGTTTAAAAACTATGGTTGTATGGAACAATTCCCCCGTTGGGGACGGATATTTGGCCTTTTATAGTTTTTGTTTTTCTTTTCTTTTTTTTTTTAAATAATTTAAGGGCTAGTTTGCGGGTTAGCCCGCCCTGACCCGCGGCCTTCGCGGGCTGGTCCGTTAGGCCCGCTCTCCAGCGAGCCTAGAGAATCTCGGCCCAACCTGCTCCTTTGGCGGTGCGGGGCGAGGCCGACCCGTTTCGGCAGCTCCATTCGGTGGTACCGCAAGGTACAACCCTGTAACCACTAGTTATTTTTCGTCCTCCGATTGAGATTCAGTTACAGATCGCCGTTGATTATTGTCGATCTACCACACGCACAAAGTGTATGCTAACCAGTACAGGGCAGCTCGGTTGGCCGCCGGCGGAACCATTTCGTGGCCGTGGTGGCGCAAATTATCAAATCGAAAGCGGACAATCGCCGCCGTCGCCGTCGCCGGAATCTCCTTTTTCCTTCTCATTTTCTCGCCAATATCGGTCTCTCGTAGAGCTGCGAATGCGAACACATGCGAATTTTCCGTTTATATATTTTTTTGAATGAATTGGAAATTTGAATTTGTATTTATGCTGTTGTAATATTCGTAGTGATTTGGTATTTGCAGTTGTTTGGATGGGAGTGTGCTGGCTGTCGTGCGAGGAGGGGATTTGGATCTGGCTCTGATGACTGGCTTCTTCACGTTGAGTGTTTCCCCTTCACTGGTTAACTTACAGGTATCTAATTGAGAATAATGGATTATTTCTGTGATAATTCCTGGTTTGGTGTAAACTAAGCGAGAATCTTATTGTACTTAGTTAGAAGTTAACTGATCCGCAGAAAGAACTTTCTGAATCGCTGTATTAAATTTGATTAAAACGTATTGTTGGAGCAAGTTAACAGTCTGGTCATCGTTGAACTAAAAAATTTTGTCCGACGTGCTTGGTCAATGGCAACAATGTTATGTTCATTGATGGACATTCATGTAATATATGCTTTATTGACTACATGCAGTAAGAGTAGTGTACTTTGGCAAAAACATGTAATTGTGTTATGAGTATAGAAATCTCGTATTTTCTCATGTTACTATTGGAAAGTCGGACATCTTTCTGAGTAGAGCTTACACAGAAGAAGCTGCATGTCAATTTTTTAAGCATGTCTTAAGGTTATAGGCTGCAATTAGAGGATACTATTATTGTGCAATAATGGCCTTGGTCAATAGGAACTCATCTTACTGATGATTGTGTGGAACATCAAGTCCAGTTTTTAGGAATTTTGAGCCATGACCCTCTTCAGAATCCTGGTATGTTATTCATTGTTGGCGATATCCTAATTTTGTTCTTTAACCTTAATATTACTTTTGTGTATAGCACTTGTATTTGTATTACATGTTGCTATTTTAGATGCAACTTCATGTTATGTATACTTCATCGTTTGTAAATCACTCAGTTTATAGTTGGTTTATTTTCTGTATGATTTTTTCCTTTCTGTTTTAACATTGATTAATGATTCTTACAAGTTTATTCGTTACTTGGAAGAGTCCTTCTGTTTGTAGATTGATCTATACTTTGACTCGCCAAACCAAGTAGTAATTGCAATTTAATTTCCGTTTGTTTATTGGTTCACTCTGCAAATATGAGGTTTGGTTGGAAACAAATGGCTGTGTATTGGATTACTATCTCCTCAATGAACTCCAAAGTTGATTTTTCACTTCTTGTGTTAAGTTGTGATTTTTTCATCTTCAGACTTTTCAACTGGAACAAGGTGAAAATACGTTGTTGTGATGGATCCTCATTTTCTAGTCACCCTGACTATGAGTATAAAGTAATCCTGAAGAAGTTGAAATCTTTGTGCACTTCTTTACGAAGCTTGTGCAAGACAATGAAATAATGTGTAGAAGTCCAAAGTGTATAAATTTTTTACTTCTCTTATTGATGATCAAAGATTTTAAAAAAATTTGGAGATAGAGAAGGTATCTTTTTGTGGCATGTGGTTTACTTCAAGTTGAAAGTTGCTGATTGTCTGTATGTGATTAGGCCATCTCCAACCCTTATCTCTACTCTAGTGCAGATTTTACTCTATTTTAGAGCAGAGTGAAACATTTGTCTCCAGCCCTTATCTCTACATTTTACTATATATTATTTAAATGTTATTCTTATTATTTTAAATTAAATTTAATAGCAAAAATATAATTTGATAACTACATTATCTTACACATATTTAGTATCAATATGTGATTGTAAAAATATTGTTAAATACAACATTATTTATTTGAAGATTATTTTATTTATTAGAATATTAATCACGTATTTACTATAAAATCAAAAATATTTTATTTATTACAAGATTAATCAAATACTTTTACAATAACATCAAGAAAATTAATGTCCATTCTCCATCGATAATCTAGGTCATAAAATATTACTAACAATATATATATATATGTCAAGATTATTTTATTTAATAAAATATAATCAAGATTATTAATACACATTATAAAATACATATATATATATATTATAAATATTTGTTTTATTGTGATAAATTTATGTTTATATTTTTACTATAAAATTTTACAAAATAAAACTAAAAAATATATCTATAGATAAAATTACTAAATTGTTTAACATAATAAATACATCAATTAATACAATAATCAATAATATATAAACANTTCTTCTACAGTGGATCGCCACATGTGGCGATGCACTATTCGCATCTTTGTAATAGTGCTAATATCTAGCGCTGGGCTGGAGAGAAAAAACCAACACAATTCTAGTGAAAAGAGAAAAGTAGCGCAGGGTTGGAGTTGGTCTTAGCGCGTTGGATAATATTTGCATATCATGCGTGTTAACTATATTCATTTTGATCTACAACTCGAGATTTTTGCATCTAGTCAAAGAGGAATCGTTTTGCATCTAGTCAAAGAGGAATCTTGGTAAGTATCTCGGAATGCCGGTGATTCATGGTCGAGTCACTAAATCTACCTATGGGGAGTTGTTGGACAAGGCGGAGAAACGTCTAGCTGGATGGAAAGCCTCTACTCTTTCGATGGCTGGGAGAATGGTTCTTACACAATCAATTTTGAGCTCGTTGCCTTATATTTCGATGCAAACGGTCCTGCTACTAGCTGGGGTTTGTGATGCTTTGGAACGTAAGTGTCGTAATTTTATTTGGGGCGGTACAGAAACCAACCGACGAGTTAGTCTGGTGTCGTGGACTGATGTTTGTCGGCCGAAGGATGAGGGCGGGCTAGGGTTTAAGGAGCAGAGGTGCATGAATAGGGCGTTGATTTTGAAGCTGGCTTGGAGTTTTCTTACGCAACCGCAATCGTTATGGGTTCGAGTGGTGCGGGCAAAATATGGCTTAAATCCTAAGTATATAGGATCGGAGTATTCTTTTCCCCGGGGTTCAAGTCTATTAACGGCATTGCGAAGTGTCTGGAAGGATGTGATTGCCGGCACAAGGTGGTCGGTAGGGAATGGTGGTCGAGCACTTTTTTGGTGGGATAGATGGCTACATGCGTCGGAGCCCCTAATTACATATGCCACTGAACCAATCCCGGAGCAGTTGCTTCATGCACCGGTTTCGGCATTTGCAACCATGGATGGTGGTTGGCATTGGAGTCTTTTTCAGCATCTGGTCCCAGCTACGTGCCTGTTGAAAATTGCAGCTGTTATGCCCCCCAACCGGCTGGTGAGGATGACGTTCGCTATTGGGGACACTCCCCGGATGGACGGTTCACTACGCGGTCGGCCTATGCGGCTCTTGCGGTTCCACCGGCTACAGCGACTGATTTGGAGATGGGTGGGCCCACAATGGATCCGTCATTTTTTGTGGCTGGCATTTCGTGACAGTCTTCTGACCAACGAGGTGCGTAAACGACGTCATCTGACCTTTTCCTCGTGCTGTCCGGTTTGTTTGGATGCTGATGACTCCACGCTGCATGTATTGAGGGATTGTTCTGTAGCTGCGGCAACTTGGCATAAGTTAGTATCTCCAGATGGGTGGGCTGCTTTCTTCTCTCTTCCTCTGAAGGCGTGGGTCTCTGCCAATTTGGATGGGACTTTGATGCAAGACGCTGAGGATTGGAAGACAGTGTTTGGGGTTGGCGTATGTGGCGATGGCGCAACTTGAAGATTTTTCGGAATGAGAGCCGATTTGTGAAGGGTCGGGGTGCATGACGTCCGCTCATTCGTACATAGCATTGAAGCAGAGGTAGATAGGGGTCGTGCTCTAGGTGGCGCAGGCCGGCGTCAGCAACGCTTCATAGGGTGGGACCCGCCTGAGCCGAGAGTGGTGAAGGTCAACACGGATGGCAGCCACTTATCGAGGACGGGTATGGCTAGTGCGGGTAGCGTCATTCGGGATCATATGGGCAAATGGCTGACTGGATTCGTGATGAATATTGGATTTTGTTCTGTCATTGGTTCTGAACTTTGGGGCATGTTTCAGGGGTTGCAGCTTGCATGGGAAATTGGGGCTCGCAGCGTGGTGGTGGAGGTCGGTAACCAGAGTATTATTGCGATGGTCCAGGGAGATGATGGATGCGGCATCCACAAGGTGATTATAATAAGGATACTGGAGCTACTACACCGGTCATGGAATGTGGCTTTGCAGCATGGTTATCACGAAGCAAATTTTGTTGCCTATCCTCCCTCGGGTGCGAAGACTTGGCTTGCTCATGATCTCATACGGGTGTCATATCCAAGAAACGTGTTGGTCTCGTAGTATTTAGGCTTTGCCTCCTTTCCTTGTACCGAAAAGAAAAAAAAAAGGAATCGTTTTGCATCTAGTCCAAGAGGGAACGTCTTTGTCTAATGGAAATCACTTGGATTCTGCAACAGCATATGTATCTTTGCTTTGCTTTGGACGATTCACTTGTTACTGTATTCTTTGATTTCGGAAGTACTTTATGGGACAAGTGAGAACATGCCTGCCCTTCAAGATAACAGCAAATTGCCTAATTCTTTCTGCTTGGACTGTGAAGATGATACGAGTGGCAATGGGAGTTGGTAAGATTTCGAAATAACCACAAAAAAGATGTCAACTCGACAAACAACCAAGACAGAAGCACAAGCATGAGTGGTCGTGTGAGCTCGAACTATGGATGCACCAAAAGTGTTAGCATGTGCAAACTTGGTTGAGATTTACTCAGACATTTACCAAAGTTTTTTGCTGTAATTTTAACCAACATGTGATGCTCCTTAAAGTTGGTTCTTAGCATAACAAAACTGCTTAAGGGAAAAAAAGAAGGACTTGTTACATCAAAAACTAACATTTTAATCAAATTTCAAAATATTGAATTAGAATATTCTATTTCATTACTTATGCATCATCTTCAATTATGATGTTGATGTACTCCTCAAATGTATACAATTAGCAATAGTATTTCAAAATTATTATTGGTAAAAGAGAGCCCACAGTTTGTTTAGTCAGTCTTTTGACAAACTATTACAGCGGGCTACGATCCCATAGCCTTTTCCAGCGTGCGGTTTATCTAATGTTTGCCTGTAAACTCGAATTAAAATAAAACTAAAAGATTCGATTATTCCTTCCTTTTTTTTTTTAAATAAAAGTGTTATGTTTTATATTAAAATAAAGTTATCACTAATGGAAGAGCACATCATGCGAAGACGTGCGAACATAAAACTAGAGTTATAGAGAAGAGTGTGATATTATAATTATTTAAATAACTGATTATTATTATTTAATAAAAGAAAGGAATAGTTTGTTATAAAAATTTAGAAATCAAAGAACTATAGGTGAGCAATGGTGCAGTTCATGTATCGAACCAAACGGAAAATCAAAATTATAAAATTTTTAAATTAACATTGCACGACAACAAAGATAAAAGGACTGAAATTAAAACAAAAATTTCCGCCCTAAAAATAACCAAATTAATTTGCACTGAATTGTTTAGCTCGAATTTTTAGATTTTCTATGCATGCATATGAGTTCGATTCGTGCAAAACTGCATCCAATTGAAAAAAAAAAAATGAAAGTCGGGCGTGTCGAAAAAATACCTAACTGAAATGCAACACAAAAAAACCCTACGAAAGTATTTATTNAGAAATTGCCAAAACTTCAAGCTAGCTTGACAGTTATGCATTTGAATTGATATTTGATACTATTTGGAAGAGTGCAAGTTGTGACGTTGAGGTTGGGTCTGTTTGTCATCTGGAAATTGCCTTGTAATTTCGCGTGCGCACACTTTTTCCCACATCGAGCAAGCATGCCATGAATCACCTCAAAGTCTTTTTTTCTCACTCTCTTCCCTAACTTATGAGCTTTGTAAGTTACGTTGACTATTAATGAAATTCTAAGCAAAATCATTAAATTCTTACATGGATCGGGCTAATCATTAGACATTAGTAGGATCGAATCATTAAATGTTTTTAATAGAATTATATACTTATACTATAAAATATCATATTTTTATTATTATTATTTTTAAAATTATGGCATTTAAACTCAAAGTTAGTTAGAAGCCTTTTTTAGTTAGGTTCTCAATGAAATTTTAAGCAGAATCATAAATTCTTGTGAGTCAGGTCAATCTTTAGTCGAATCAAACTCGTGTATATATTTCTAATAAAACTACATAATTATACTATAAAGTTTTATATTCTTATTTATATCATTCTTAAATTATGACATATTAGCTTGGAACTTTTTGTAAATTATGTTTTCAGTGAAATTGTAAGTAAAATCACAAATACTTGTATGAATTGGACTAGCAGTTAGCCGATTCTAGCGTCATACTTTTTTAATAAATTTGTATATTATTATCTATAAAATATTATATTTTTAGTTATATGATTTTTTAAAGTATGACATTTCAATTTGATAATATACATATTTACTGAAAAATATGATTATCTAACTATAATTGTGTAACAGTTAAGTTGTTAGCATGCAAATGATACAAGTAATTTTTTTCGATAATGCAAATTTTTACAAGTAAAACCCAATTTCAAAAATAGAAATTACAAACTGTAGAAATATTTATCTTTAAAAAAAAAAAATTCTCTCTCTACGAAGCTGCCCGGAAGCTCATCAATGGTTCCAAAATCTCTCTCCTCCATTTAAAATCCCTATCTCCTTCTTTTCTCCTTCGCTCATCAAAATCCCAACATTCTCTCTCTTCACCACTCATTTTATTAATCCTCTCTCTCTCTCTCTTTTCCTCAATTTTCAATTTTCAGAAATTATGAAGCTCGCTCACAAATTGAAAAAACTCTTCATATCCAGAAAATCCAGGTCCTTCTCCTCCCGCACGACGTCGTTCTCCTCCTCCTCCGACGGCGGCGGCTGCTCCAAAAACCCCAACGGCGCGTCAACGCCGACGAGCGTCCTCCCGGCGATTCCCGCTAGCGTGTACGCCGAGCTGAGGCAGGCGTTCGAGATGATCGACCGGGATGGCGATGGGAAAGTGGCCAAGGAGGAGCTTGCGCGGCTGCTTTGCCGGCTCAGCGGCGGCGGTGACGGGCCGCCCGACCGGGAGGATGATCTGAGGTCGGTGCTGGACGAGGTGGACAGGGACGGGGACGGCTGCGTCAGTTTGGAGGAGTTCTGCGCGTTCGGGTCGGCCTTCGCGCCGGCGGCCGCCGGGGACGGCGAGCTGAGGGAGGTGTTTGGGTTCTTCGACTCCGATCGGGACGGAAGGATCACGGCGGAGGAGCTGCTCCGCGTGTTCTCTACGATCGGGGACGCGCAGTGCACGTTAGAGGACTGCCGGCGCATGATAAGCGGGGCGGATAGGAACGGGGATGGGTTCGTGTGCTTCGAGGACTTCAGTCTAATGATGGAGGTGCAACATAGATGATATATAATAGATCTAATTTTATTTATTGTTAGTTGTTACTATTATTTGTTCTGGACATTTTAGGGGGGTGTATTCAGTTTCAACTTTTAGAGACTTTTTAAGACTCTCAGAATTCTGGTGTATTCAATCAGAACTTTTAGAGACTTCTGAAAAGTTTACATGTATTCAATTGAGACTTTTAAAGACTTTTAAAAGTCTTTAAAAGTCTCAGGGTATTCAATTAAAACTTTCTGAGAGTCTTTATAAGTCACCATGTATTCAAAATATGAAGACTTTGTGAGACTTTTTAAATTGTGAGACTTTTAAAGACTTTTCTAACAAAATTACAAAGAGAAAGTCCCAACAGAAATCTCATCAATATTGGTGAGATTTTGTTGGACTTATGTGACTCTCTTCACGCTTTCTTTCTTTTTTCTTTCTAACATGACTTTGTATCTCATCACTTTCATGCTTTATTTTACTCTTTTATTTTGATACCTTGTATAATTTTTATTTCATTACGTATATTTAACGTAATCTTTATTTTATATATTTTTTTATTATGGTTATTTTATGTATGTATACCTTTAATCTTTCATTTTGTTATCTTGTGAATTTGATTTTTCAAAGGTTAAATGCTTCCATAGTTTGCACTTGCAAATAATTTATTTGTCCTCTCTTTTTATTTATCAGTGTTTATTTTTTAATATTAATAAAATTATTTTATTTTCTAATAGTTTATTTGTTGATATTGAATTATTTTGAATATTATTGATAACTTTATAAAATACAATTACTGTTTTTCGACAATGTTTGTATCTTCCATAGTTCGACTCGTTGAAGCTCGGATTAATTTGATCGTTTAATAAATCTAAAATCCTAAATAATATGTTACTGAATAACTCATTTCGCATAACAATGAGTTGATTCATAAATTTTTAGAGGATTAATATATAAAATATTTTTTTTGATTTATTCTTCTTGATATTAGTTATTATGTTACGTTTATTAATTTTTCATTCTAACATAATATTATAACTACAAGTATATAAAAGTCTCAATAAGTTTTAAAAAATCCAATATGAAAGTCTTAAAAAGTCACTAATGAGAATTCTCTGAAAGTCTCAACAAGTCCACCAAAGTCATGAAAGTTTTACAAAGTCCACAAAAGTCACCAAATTTAAAAAGTTTTAAAAAGTCCTTAAGAATCTCAATTGAATACAAGCCCCTTAGTGTTTAAGGGTTTTTTTTCAACTATAAAAGAAGGGGAAAAAAAGGAGAATGAATAGTGGAGGTATTGAAATATACTGTTTATTGTCCTCAAAATTTCATGTGTAAATAAATGAGTTGCATCATTTATGGGAAATATAAATTATATGTTGAATTAATATAAATATCCTATGTTTTAGTTTATTCCATAAAATAAACTGTCCCTATACAACAAAAATATGTTACTACTTGCTGGTTGCTAGTCTTTATAATTTTTTAGGCAATGTTGTGGAAAGGTTACTACAAATTGAACAATTAAAAATTGCAATGTAGCATCTACTTAAAGTCTTAATCTATTAAAATTGCATTAAAAGTCAATACTTGTCGGCTTGGCCATGTTAACCGAACAAGTCAATTGTGTTCGATTTGGGCCGACTTTTTTGATAAATGAGCCCAAATCAAGTTTGTGTAGTTAATGAATGAGAAATTTTTATTCATCCCACATGAAATTAAAGTAATTTCAAATTTATCATTAACAAACAAATAATTTGGTAGATACCTAATAGACCAAAAAAAAAATTACGTGAATCCCTAAAAGTCAGTTACCCAGTGTAACATCCTCCATTCCAAATCTTATGAACGTGATTTGGTAACAGGAAAAAGAAACAAAAAAATACCAAAAAAATGCTCCATCGAATTTTCCGTGATTTCTTACGAGCTCATGATCCAAAATAGCTGCACATATGGAAAAAAAAATANAAACTGGTATTATGTAAAGTTGGCTATGGATCCCCCTTGTGTTGAGGTTTCTACTGATTAGGCTTTGTTAATTTAACAATATTTTGATTCTGCGCGTGATAACACTCTTAATCTGAGCGGTCACTTTGGAAGTGGCATAATATTTTCGAATCTTGGTACTGTTGCTTGAACATAATTGCTTATGTGATTAGTTTTAGCCCACTTCTGACTTGTTGAAATTGATTTTTTTTTCCTCTTCAAATGTCGATCTATCTGAATCTTGTTGGCTTTATGAAATTGCATTATGTTGACTCCTATGGCTGAATAATGGGGCAGACAAATATAATTTCAGAAAATCGTGCAATTTAACATTGTATTACAATATTCTCATCTATGTTTTATACTTGTATTACAATATCCTATGCTGAACAGGTGATAGTATATTTTAGTGATATTTAGTTATATATTTTGGTATATATACTGTGTCATTTTTTCAGGAGTTTTCAGTAATATCTGATACTTAGTATATTTCAGTGATATTTAGTTTTATATTCTGGAATATATTTAGTGATATTTCAGTGATACAATAACTGCCATGTACAATTTTAATGGTTTTTTATTTCATGAATGTTTGGTATTTATTGATACTTCAATATATTTTTATGAATTTAATTAGATGTTTAAACATCTATTACGCTATTTTTCAGAAATTTATTTTTCTTTTTTTTCGCATCTTGTGTAATTTTGGGTAAAAATATAGTTGAAATAAACTAAAATATACCTAGAATATAGTCAAAATAGATGTTTTACGTTATAGTGCAAATTATAAAGTGCAAAAAATTACAAAGCGGAACATACCTGGAATATAACGTAATATATACCTGGAATATACATGGAATATAACGTAAAATATACTTAGAACATACCTAGAATATATAATACATACATATAAATCAAATTAGAACATATAATACATATGAACTTAAACATATAATTGGAATATTAACGTGAAATATAATATTAGATATACCTGGAATATAATATTAGGTATAATATTAGTTATACCTGGAATATAATTCATCTTAACATTGTATTAAACAAGAGCAATAAAGCAACTAAAAAACTTAAAATTTACACCTCCAAATTCTTCCCCAAAACCCAAAAAAACCCACAAAAAAAAAAATGAAAAAAAAAAAAGTGGAACTAATGTTAACCATGAAACCCCATCATTAATCAAGAATGCCAAAGCCCTCCCCAAATCCCCTTCAACCTACTCGTCGAAACCCTCCTCATAATCTTCTTCACGTCCAACTCGTCTTCCTCCTCCGCGAGCCTCTCGACATTCCTCAAATAACCCGACCTCACCATCTTCTTCCTTTCTCGTCCACTATTTCCCGCCAACGACACCAATATTGACAACAAAAGCTTCTTGTCGGAAGTCGTCTGAACCGGGAGATGAACTAGATATTTGCATTCTAGTCTTGTCGGAAGACTTGCGACTAGGATTAGGGCTTATATCTTTTTCGAAAATTAGTTTTTTCTGAATGAGTTTTGGTTGATTTTTTTGGTGGATTTTACGGAGCCGGTTACTCGATCTAATATGAGGTGTGTCGTCGGCATCATTTGTCGGATTTTTTCGATGAGGACGAGGGAGTTTAGTTTTAGCCATTGAAACTTGAATTGGGGAAAGTTTCTGGAGCCGTTTTTTTGCAGAGTGGTAGGAGACGTGCAGCTTTAGGTGGTTTTGGCAGAAGGTTATTTTTTGGTTACTTTTTTGTTCCTTTTTCTTAGGTAAGTGTATCTTTAGTTCCAATAAAATCTCTCATTAGCATTTAAAAAGTTGATAACGGTTCGTGTAGTATGTTAGGTATAATTGAAAATCTTATTTGTCATTTAGGTAATTTTACAAATAAGAATATAAGGGGTCCAAAAGTGTTATTAAAATGAAATATATTAGTGGGAGGTGTAATTTCCTCTTAAGGAATCGAGTTGGTAGCTCGCTCGCTAAGGCTTGATAGGCTAAAAAAATATGATTTTTTTTTTTTTAATTTTCTCACTCATTTAATTGGTTAGCTCAATTTGACTTGATAAAGGCTCGAATATGAGCCCGTCTTGGCTCGTTTACATCTTATTAGTGACTATATGAATGGAGCAAGTTTGACTCGATCAAAATTGTGTCATTTATTTTCATAAAATATTAGTTTGAGCGTAAATTTTAGTTTGAGCGTATGAAATACTCATTTCGTTTTATCAAATTCTAACTCTCATCAAAAATTTTGGTTTTTTGGTTTGGTTTGGTTAATTTTGAAAAATATAGTATGGTTAGTTGTTATTGGGTATATTAAAATAATATTTATTATAAAATAACTAAAATTGATTTGATGTAAAAGTAGGAGAAAGAGATATGAAGTGATAGTTAGTTAAAATAATGTGAGTGGATGAATAGTGAATTAAGGTTGATGTGGTGTGTATGAATGATTGATTGATATTATTTAATTATATTAATAATTTTGATAATAATGGGGTTGAGTTAAAATGTGGAATTTTTTTTGAAAAATTCCATAAACAAACATGCTCTAAATTCTCAAATCCCCCATATCCGCTCGCGACCTCGGCTCTCTCTTCCTAAATAATTTATCATATTTTTTCCGAATTAAATAATTCCAAATACATAATTATAATTTTTAGCATGCGATAAATTCACATTTATTTATTGTTTAAGAGATATTACTGATAAAATAACCTACCTTTTAATTTATATCAGTATAACTATTTTTTTTTCTTTTGTAATTGACTGGAAAAGTTTATGTCAAGATGAAAGTATAACAAACAATTAATCTGTAAATTAAGTAGAAAGAGCCATTACTAATAATAAAACTAATTTATTTTTATTCGTAATAAGTTATTGGTGCAGCATCACAGTCCTGAAATAGGGTGAAAATACAACAAAAATACAAATCCTTCTTCGACAAAGGTATGATTAATTTCTTCAGACAAATTATTATGTATTCCATTAATCATAACACCACTGCCACATTATAATCAAGAACAGTTATATACAAATTCCATAATTCAACAAGAACAAGATCACCCAATCCCATGAATGCCTACTATTAAATAACAAAATTATGAGAATGCTCAAAACTCAAAGTCCTCAACCCATACTTTGTGCGGAGCTGCTCATCATCCCGACACCTTGTGAATATTTCCGTCAGCTCCTTTTCAGCTACACAGTATGCGATCATTATGCTCAGGCCCCCCCTGCAAAAAGAGAAGGAAAAACAAATCTCTCAATTTGAATGACAATGCTTGTGAAACTATTCTAAGAGCCATAACATTTGAACGAACACCTCCAAATTGCTAAAATAATGTAAAAGACAACCTTACAATAAGCTCACTATTTCCTCCTGCGGATGCACGAGCAAAGTGGGTATCACTTTTGATAAGAGCCATTCGCTCTTCATTAGTCTCTTCTTTACCCACCCGATATTGAGTTCTTCTCGCACGATACCCAATCATGCAGTGGTACGGTTTAGAGTTTTGGGAAATGGAGAAGAAAGAATGGATGAATGTAGAATAGGGAAGGTAATGTGGGATTTTGGAATGGAGAAGTGGTGTTCCCTAATTTTGGGCTTTTCTGAAGAGGAAGACGTCGGGTGCAGCAAAAGTTGACATTTTTTTACATCCATAATTTACCATTTAAATTTTGCGTGTTTGACCGAAAGACTGAGAAGCACACCCCCAAAAATCGGGAAAAAGCAAAAGGCACGTGTGTAAAAAAGGGGCAAAATTTCACGTTGAAAGCAGTGGCAGAACTCGTAAATATATCTGAAGTTGGAGGACATTTGTGTTTTTAAGGGAAAGGAGAAATCTTATTTGGTCCCGTTTTTCCTTAGCCATGAAGATATCTAAAACTTCAATGGCACTTTCGTTAATAAAGAAAAAATAAGTGCAAAAAATGTGCAACGAAAATGAGTGGCAAAATTGTAATTAAAGTTGGACACTTGTCAATTTTTTAACACACCAAAACTGGACACGTGTCACCACCACAAAAGGCCTCACTTCTTCATATATAGATAAGAGAGATATATCTATATATATATTTAAAAAAAAATATCTATATATATATTAATTTGAAATGATTTTACATTGCAGATTTCAATCATTTCGGGGAGCAAGTTTTTGGTCGAGCATATCCACATACGGTGCAACTATCAATGTGAGATACAAATGCAAATTATTTTGACTTGCCTCCTAGAAATTTTATGTGGTGATTCTTATATATATGAGTCTCTATATTGTCACATTGATAAGTCTTGGGTACTTCAAATTATTTATTATGTTTCCACATTTGCTTGTTTATTAAAAATAATGAGTTTTCATATGAGTTTTACTAGTATTATCTATATAAATGTAAATTATTTTACGTAATAATATATATATAGAATCTTTAGCTGAATAGAGGAACTTCTAACACTTCTAAACACTATGAGAACCCTGTGGATGCCACTTTCATGTCCTCTTGGTATAGTAAATAGTTTGAATTATTCTGTTGCTAAATCATAAAGGTTATGAACTTATGACTACTGTTAATGAAACTTATGATGGGTCGCATGTAGTGTTTTTTTTTTTTTAAATCCATCCAGGTTACTCGGCTGTCATGAATATATATACAAGTTTATTGTGGTGATTCATTTTTGAAGTATTTTTACTACCAAATTAAACCAGCTCTTCTTTCTGAAACTATTGACTAATTGATACAGTGTTGTGTCTTTTTTTATTTTTATTTTTATTTACATAAATTCAGAGTATGTCAAAAAAGGCTAGCGGCTCCGGAACTAAAAAGGGGAAGGGAGTAGATGTGGGGAAAGAGATAAAAATGTTCATTGATGTGGAATACACTCTTACAGAAAATGTCTTATAATGCTTTTCTGAACAGAACAAGCGTAGCCGTCGGAAAGATAAACGAGATCAACACTCTTCCGGCGGCTAGTGAAAACAAGTATGTGAGAATCAGGTTTATGGATGCAGACGAGGTAAGCTGCCACGTTTTCTTGAGAGCATCGGACTTATACTTTATTGGGTATGAGAATAAAGATTACACATTGGTAGCACTTCAACCCGATAACACGAAGACACAGTAAGTCGATGCTCAATTTTCCACCCTTCCACCACCTCCCGTACCTCCTGCACAGCCTGCACCTCCTGTTCAAGTCGAAGAATTGAGCTTCGGAGGTACAACGGACTTAGGACAGTTTCCAAAATCCATGGAAGGAATGCTACACAGGAAGTCGATGCTCAATTCCTTCCATGGATTTTGGAAACTGTCACAAGTCCGTTGTAGTTACCTCCGAAGCTCAATTCTTCGACTTGAACAGGAGGTGCGGGCTGTGCAGGAGGTACGGGAGGTGGTGGAAGGGTGGAAAATTGAGCATCGACTTCCTGTGTCTTCGTGTTATCGGGTTGGAGTGCTACCAATTTGTGATCTTTATTCTCATACCCAATAAAATATAAGTCCGATGCTCTCAAGAAAACATGACAGCTTACCTCGTCCGCATCCATAAACCTCAAATGTATTCTCACATACTTGTTTTCACTAGCTGCCGGAAGAGTGTCGATTTCGTTTATCTTTTTGGCGGCTACGCTTGTTCTCAGTCTGTTCAGAAAAGTTTTATAAGACGCGACATCTTCTGTAACAGTGTATTCCACCTCAATGAACTCTTTTATCTCTTTCCTCACATCTACTCCCTTCCCTTTTTTAGTTCCGGAACCGCTAGCTAGAGATTCTATATATATATTATTTCGTAAAATAATTTACATTCATAGTGTTTAGAAGTGTTTAGAAGTAAGTCCTCAACCCATACTTTTTGCGGAGCTTCTCATCATCCCGACACCTTGTGAATATTTCCGTCAGCTCCGTTACAGCTACACAGTATGCGATTATTATGCTCAGGCCCCCCCTGCCAAAAGAGAGAAAAAGGAAGAAAAAAAAATCTCAATTTGAATGGCAATGCTTGTGAAACAATTCTAACAGCCATAACATTTGAACGAAAAGCTCCAAATTGCGAAAATAATGTAAAAGACAACCTTACAATAAGCTCACTATTTCCACCTGCGGTTGCACAAGCAAAGTGGGTATCACTTCTAATAAGAGCCATTCGCTCTTGAGTAGTCTCTGTACCTACCAGATCTTGAGTTCTTCTCGCATGATACCCAATCATGCCGTGGCACCACGGGTCCTGTAAAAAAAAGAAATGATTTTGTTTTTAACGAGATTTGTTATCATGCATGTACTTTTCTAGTAATTGGTGAACCACTGAACCAAAAAGGAACACATACCTCTATTTCCTTATACAGCTCAGCGACAAAAGCATCATTCGCAAACACTTGCTTCACCACATTTTTAAATTCTTCAGCATCACCACTGCTAATATTTTCTCTTTTAAGAATCTCTAGAATGTTTTCAAGAAGTTCTACAAGCGGACCTTCTCCTTCTAGTCTCGAAGAAACGTTTTTGAAATTTTGATGCTACAAACATGCACAATTTGTAAGTTGAAAATTTTAAAATGTTTTACCGTCCACTAAATAGTAAGATCACCTGTGGTGCACGGAAGTGAACTCAGTAGAGAACAGTGAGTGACTAAGTAGCGAAAAATATAAGAATTAGTGACACGAAATGCAAAAGTTACGGCAAGAGTTCAAGCAGCATGTATTTGTAATTTCAATTGATAAACAGATGAACATCACTTTCTAAGTGACATACTAATCCCAAGCTTGTCCTAATCGACGACTGGATACGCATACATACTACAAAATGCATATTGCCAACAAAGATTAAACAATGGAAAAGGCAGGAACTACACGGTTGATCCACACATATCTCAAAAAATAGGCTGTTCATGTGCGCTTACAATTCATAACAAGAAAAGTTTTCTATGAAGTACTAATCAGAATAGCATTTACAAATAAAAAAACAAAAGAAAAATACACCAAACTAGATAAACATTAATTCCTCTTGCAGAATTCATTCTAAAATCTAAAGCAATAATCCAATTGAAAAGTGAACTACAAATCAATGGGAAACCTTTTTCATCAACTTTATTGACATTCCATTCCCTAAAATAGTGGCAGCAGTAGATTTCAATGCACTATCATTAAGTTGATTGGTGTTGCCTTCACTATTAGAGGAAAGGAAAAGAAGTCGATGCCCATACCTCAAAAACCTTTAGAATGTGAGACCAACACTGCAAAAAGAAAAACTAAAATAAGTAAAGAATCACCCGGCAAAAGATGAAAATATCAAAATTGTCCAAATTGGAATCATCCTTACTATCAGATCCTCGTCCGAAACAACGTCATAGACAGAATCATCACTATCCTCATCATTATCATCATCATCATCATCATCAATGGCATCAGCAGGTCTCTTCAACGACTTTTTATCCCCCAAATTTTTCCCTTCTTCGTGTAACCCTCCAATCTCTGCATCCATTGCATTTGTATTCATTTCTTTAACCTTACAATCGATAAGGTAATGGTTCATTCACAAATGAAATTCTAAATTCAACACCACCAATACAGAGAGAACTAAATCGAAGCATCCATTAACAAAAACAAGAAGAGTTTCAACTGCAGAATAATATTGTACGAAAAATAGGATTTACCTTGCAATCTTTGCTATCAATGGGCATCGTATGTTGAATGGGCCATCGCCAAGGCCTACGACTAACTTGTGGCCCACATTATGTTGCTCAACCTGGCCTTATCTATGGACTTACCTGTTGTTACATACTAATAAATTACCAATCAAATTCGATAATTAGTTTGTTTGTAAAAAATTTATTGAATTAGTTTTCCACTTTTAGCAATTGAAATTAAATATACTATAAATCACAATCATCATTTAATATAATATATAACTAGTAACTTACAATTTTATGTATGATTTCGTTATTTTTATTCTTAATATACATTAATTGTATACATTATAGGCATATGCAGTTTGATACTTAAAATAGGAATGTTAAACGAAAAGAGTTGCTCGTGAGCTCGACTGGGCTCGACGGATAATGTTATTCAAAATCATTTAAATTAAATAATTAATATTTTTTCTAATTTTTATTTTTCGATAATAAAAATATTGTAGTGAATTGAATCAGTCTATACAACGGTGACTTCTTACGAAATACCATTTTTTATCCCAATAAAAATCATCACGTTACTTTATGAAACGAAAGTAAATCGGAATCAGTTAATAAAAAAACAAAAATGATCTCGTTATTTTATAAATGAATGTAAATTGGAATCATATAATAAAAAATGTACAAGGAGCTGAATTCAAAGAATAACATAATCATAAAAGATGCGATACAATTTAATTAAATCATTATTATTTTTCTGATTTTTATTTTCCAATATAAAATATTGTAGTGAATTGACCTCCTAAAAAATTGCACTTTTTTATGCCAACAAAATTCTCACTTTTAAATAAAAAAATTAATGCAATTGAATTTATTATTCTATGACAAGAATGTAAGTAATGTAAGTCTTAACTGTGCAATCCATTAATAAAAAATATACACTCCACATCGACAATATGCAATTTAAATTAAATAAATGTCTTTAATTTGTGAAAATAATCCATTAAAAATATATTTTAACTATTAAATTGCTCTTATAAATACTTGCATACTGTGTAAGTGTAACGGAGCTGACGGAAATATACACAAGGTGTCGGGATGATGAGCAGCACCGCATAAAGTATGGGTTGACGAGTTACTTAGAGATTTGAGCATTCTCATAATTTTTTTCTAATTGTAGACATTATTGGGATTTCGTGATCTTGTTCTTGTTGAATTACGGGTTTTGCACGTAACTTTTCTAGACTATATGTGGCAGTGGAATTATGATGTATAATTGTGATTTTGTTAGCAAAATGCATACAATAAATGTTTCCGGACCAAATTGTTTAGTCCTTTTCATGATGGCACGGGCATGCACTCCATATATTCAGTATATGATAAAGAATTTTATAAATCCTGTAATGTAATTATCAAATATTAACTATGACATTATCCCTATTGTTTCGACCAAAAAAAACTAGGACATTATAATTTAGTTGGGAAAATGATTTTGTAGACAACGTATTGTGTGTTTTATTGTTTACATTAGTAAATTAATATTCTAAACTTGTTGTGACTTAATCATCGAGGAGTCGTGATGTATAGTTGCCGTTCATGTTAAATAGAGGAAAAGTTCCAAATGAATGAGAGAAGAGGGAGATTAATACTTGTTTTTATTTACGGTCATAGCCTAAGAAATCCTGAGATGCATTGACGGCTCATTTGTAATTGCCGAATTTATATTTATCCTACAAGATTTGTAAAATATTGCATTTTTACGTTTCAGTCAATTTCTCACAGATTTTAACACAATTAAATAACATTATATTTACATTTTCTAAAATTGCAGATAAGTCCTTACAATGTATTTAATTCTTATTACAAAACCTTAGCCCCAAATTAATGTTTCTATCACTTTCCACCAACACACACTTGCCATCCCTCCACCCACCACACCACCACGAGCAGCCGTATCGGAGCAAATCAACCACTGGACTACCTACGGCCTCCACCTCCACGCCCGGCAGGGCCTCCACGGCCTCCCTTAGGGCTGGTGGAGCTCCGTACCTGTTTGGGCCATTCTCCAACAAGTGCTGGAGCAGGCGGAGTGGCGGCAGCAGCGGGATCTT